AAACAGTGGGAGCCACAAAACCCTTTTGATATCTAAAATGAAGATAAGACTGCATATATCCTTTTTTACCTTTATGATATGTGTGTGTGTGTGTGTGTGTATGTTTGTGTGTGTATATATAAAATAAAGGTAAAAAAGGATATATGCAGTGTTATCTTCATTTTAGATGTCAAAAGGGTCTCTCTCTCTCTGTCTTTCCTCTCTCTTTCCTTTCTTTCCTCTCTCTTTTTCCTCTTTCTTTCCTCTAACTTTCTCTCTCTCTCTTTCCTCTCTTTCTCTGTCTCTCTCTCTTTCCTCTTTCCTCTCTTCTCTTTCTCTCTCTTTCTCTCTCTTTCCTCTCTTTCTCTTTCCTCTTTCTCTCTTTCTTCTCTCTTTCTCTTTCTCTCTTTCCTCTAACTTTCTCTCTCTTTCCTCTCTTTCTCTTTCCTCTTTCTCTTTCCCTCTTTCCTCTCTCTTTCTCTCTTTTTCTTCTCTTTCTTTCCTCTTTCTCTTTCCTCTCTCCCTTTTCTCTTTCTCTCTTTCTCTTTCCTCTTTCTCTCTCTCTCTCTTCTCTTTCTCTTTCCTCTTTCTCTTCTCTTTCTTTCCTCTTTCTCTCTCTCCCTCTCCCTCCAGGTTAGGAGAGAGAGAGAGAGAATGAAAGGCAGACGGCGCCGAATGGGCGGGGAGGGGGAGCAGGACGGGAGGCAGCGGCTCCAGCGGCGGCGGCATGGCAGCGGCCACTGCAGCATCGTCGGGAGTCCACGCTGCCCCCAGCCTGGCCGCCGCCCCAATAGCCGAATGGGTGGGGAGGGGGAGCAGGACGGGAGGCAGCGGCTCCCGGCCGCCGCCCCCATCGCATCCTCAGCTGAACAGGCGGGGAGGGGGAGCAGGACGGGAGCCGCTGCCCCCATCGCGTCCTCAGCTTATATAAAGGAATAAAATAGAATACCCGTATTTTCCGGCGTATAAGACGACTGGGCGTATAAGACCCCCGACTTTTGAGAAGATTTTCAGGGTTTAGAAAGTCGTCTTATACGCCGGAAAATACGGTAACAGTTACATATATGATTTCCCCCCCAATATTTCTAGAAATAATGATCACATCAATATAATATTTCTTTTCTATCTAATCATTCTGGTTGCCTCATCTTATATCCTATTACAGTCCTTATTCAGATTGTTTCTCCCATAAAGTTCAAAATATTCTTGCTGGTTAAGATTTTCTCAACAGATAATTACATTTAAAAATTTAAATCCATTTTTCCCATATAAACCATCTCAACACTTTTACATTTCTTAAAGAATAGGTAAGAACAGTAAAGAAAAGGAAAAAAGAGCAAGAATAAAGAAACATAAAAAATAATATACTACTTAAAATATATATTCCTCCTTAGCTAATATATATTCATTCTCAAAATTTCTTATTCTTTTTAACCATGATTAAAAATATATTTAATCTTTAAATATTCCATGTAATGTGTCTAGTCATCTAATCCTTTAACTCTTATTCAAAACATTTTTTTTCTTTTTTATACATTATAATTTCCCTAAATTCATTTAATTATCTAAAACATTTCCTTCATCTAGGCCATTTCAGCAGTATTATATTACTTATATCACGAAATAAAATAAAAAAGGTGGGGGGGAGCATTCAGTATTATTTAAGGAATTCATTTCTCTTAGAATAACATATGTATTCAGAATCTTTTCTATTTCTTTAACCACATTCAAACAAATGTTTCTTTTTTAAATATTCTCTCTGGTAGATCCCCTCATCTAAAAAGAATTAAAAGTCAAACTAGAAAAAGGAAACTGGTCATAGAAAGCACTAGTTAAACAAAACGACTTAGTTTTACAAAAGGGTATATAAGTACTGACAACGACATCCATATTCTTCTTTTAACTTATTTCACAGAAATACACTCCGAAAACGGAAAGGTACAAAGAACTTTTAGAAAAAGAGGAAGAAACGAAGAGATATCACTTCCTTTCTCTCTGATGTTTTCAACATCTCTACATTCCATTTTATCCAATCTTTTTTTTGTCCTCTGATTTATTTTGTAGTGTTAAGGGATGAGTTGTTTTTTCTATTCCTTGTAAATTTTTTCCCACTAGGATTAAATCATGTTTTCTTGTTTTGTTAAGTTCCATCTTTGAGTCTCTATTTTCAATTTTATGCCCACTTATTTGTTTTGTCTGCTCCTTCTCTGTTGTTGTTTCCTGGAAGTTTTTTTGTTGTAAAGTTAACTTAGAGTTAGATTGATTTGTATATTCAAAGTTATTTTGGATTTCTTTGTAATTTGAACTCAGTGTTATTTGAATTAATTGCAGTATACTATATATCTCCTCCTGAGAGGTATTTATGTTTTCTTGGTGTGTTCTGTCTACATGTCTCTGATCCATGATGGCCAAAAGTTGAAGTTTTCCTTCTTATCTGCAAATAGCTTTAGAGTCCCGGTTAAATAGATATTTGTAATCCAAAGAGTTCAAAAAATATTTTTTTCCCCTAAAGTTTATGATTTTCTCTTTGTCTGCAGCCCAGATTGTTGTCTTTTTTGTCACAGCTGTTCTTTATTATTAAGGCTTTGAAGGTCACAAACACAGATTAGCTTTTCCCAGATTTTGGCAAGTTCTCTATGGAAATCATAGGTGTCATAATCTTCATCCACCACTAGGTGTCAGCATCTGTTTAGTTTTCAATATGAACAATGGTCTTTAAAATGAGTGACTTAACCATTCAACAATCTTAAACTTGTCCAAAGTTAAATTTTGGCTTTCAAGTTTATAAATTTATTTCACTACCATATATTTTGATCTTCCATAGAAATTTTATACTTCCGTTAGTATAAGGATGGGGCGGAAGTCCCCCTCCTTCACTTTCGGAGGTATTTTGCTTCTTGCGGATCTTTTCCAGGAAATTAAGTGTAGGATAGGAAAGGGAAAATCAGATTCCTCACCCAGTTCAAGCACGCTGTTTACTGTAGTGCTGGTTAGTTCTTTTGGACTCCGGTTGCAAGTAGCTTGGGCTGATCAATGAAATACAGCCTTTCTCCTGCCGGGTTAGAAGGCTTTCCCCAAGATGAATGGAACGATCGCTGTCATTCCAGAGTCGCAGGGGCACCCTTCTTTCTTTGCCGCCTCTCCGGGGCGGTTTGGACCCATTAGGGTCTCCAGGCAGGGCAAAAGTTAGTCGCGGGGATGCGGCAGTCTGCAAGCCCGCGACCAGTCGCTACCACGCAGGACTGGAAGTCCGGATAGCACATTGTTACTTTCTTAACTCCTCGTATTACCCAAATGACATTCCTCTCTAGCAGGATTTTTTATATATAAAATTTCAGAAAAATGTTGTTTTGGATCTTCTTGTCATAACATTTATGCTTCACTGGACTTTTTCTTTGATGCGCCTGTGACAATAGTTCTATTGTCTTTCAGTTAACCTATTGGCACATTCATTTATATACATAAATACATACAAACATAATAAACAATGTTAATCTCTGTTAACTGAAGCAAAAGTAATCCTTACTGTCTACAGATTAACACTTTCCTTCACATGATACTATTTAGCAGAAAGCAGTTGTCATGCTGTGAACCTTGTTGTCTTCATACTTCAGTGTAACTGTTTTAGATGTCCTTTTACTTGTCTTGAAGGAATTATCTTTTAAATGTTACTTTTCTCTTCCCCAATTTGCTCTTAATGAATTTGCTGGAGGAGACATGGCAGAAAGAAATAAAAATTACTCAGATGCTTGGGAACGTCATTATTTTGCTTGTCTGTCCTGAACAGGAAACATTTGGTACATAATATCCTGCTTAATCCTGTTAAGAATCATCTGATTCTTAGAAGCCTTTTATGTATCTATCTACTTAAGTATAGGCATATGATCTTGAGTATCCCAAAATATTCTTGTTGTTTACATGCTCCACCATTGCTACTAATCAATGAGTCTCAGTTTTTAGATCAGTTGTAACAAAAGCGGAAATGAAGCATTTGATCTCATTTGGAATGTTCAGTAGATGCTCTTAGAAACTACGAATTGACCCAAGTCTCATAGATGACTTTCTCAAAATTATTGACAATAGTATACCCTAATTTGAGATAACGCTATGTGTTCTTTTAATTCTATAAAGTATATAGTCAGTTTGTGTTTAGGCCTTGTGTGATGGAATGTAGTAAGGAGGTGGATTCCCAGAAGGGATGGCTGCATAGGAGTAAGAGGCAACTCAGTCCAGATATTATATATAGGGAAAACATGGTGAAGACAGCCCCTTGCTGATCGTTTACAGGGTATATTGTAGCTATAGATAGTAGAGTTCTCAATCTGTAAAGATTTTATGTATATGGGGTGATTCTTCCAAAGATGATTAGATTAATTGTAATTTAATGATTAAGTGTAGTCTGCTTACATTTGTGTTGGTAGAACATCAGCAATATGTGAAATTCTCATATTCTAATTTCTCCAAAATTGCAGAACATCACAATTGTCAATGTTAAATTGCCTATGTTTTCTTTTAAAACTAAATAAATGACAGACAAACAGATACTTGTTACAGTCACATAACTGTTCTTACCAGGTACTGCTTCTTGGGGGGTTCATATTAAGAACATATATTCTTCATTGCATCAAAAGTCTTTAATTTTAGCACAAAGTAGCATTTGAACTGTTGGAATAAAAATAAGCTGTAGTAGCAAAATGAGAAATGGTCCTAATATACCAAGATTTTGTAGAATGCATCAAGTGAGAAAAGTCTTCCGTAGAACATCCCTCTAGTGCTAAAAACCAATAGAAATAGATTGGAATGACTTTCTGAATTCTTTATCATCTTAAATGCTTTGCTGTTTCTTACCCAAAGGAAGCTACTCATTCTTGAACTTAACATGAGACTATTTTCTATCCAGACATTCCAGTTCTTAATGCAACAAAATGGAATGAGCAATGATGAAGATGAAAATGTTTTGTAACATATGATCTCTTAGTGAGTTCCCCAGTGGCCACTAAATGCCTTTACTTTTTTTCCAGCTCGAGGCCTGGATCACATTGCTGAGAATATTCTGTCATATTTGGATGCCAAATCTTTGTGTTCTGTTGAACTAGTATGCAAGGAATGGTACCGGGTGACGTCTGATGGTATGCTGTGGAAGAAACTGATTGAGAGGATGGTCCGCACAGACTCATTGTGGAGGGGTTTGGCGGAGCGAAGAGGATGGTGAGAGTATCAATCATACATCTGCTCAGTAGGGGAAATAGATGCCAGTGATAGTTTGATCATTTTACCTGAAAATTGGACAATACCCTTTAATTTTCATTTCTTATTTTCTTTGTTACTATTTTCTGAGGATATATGTTTTCTCTTGATTCTAGAATTCATTCCAGAAGCCACTGGCAGCAGGCACATCATCTTCATCAGGAGGCAGGGTACAACTATTTAGTTGCTCACTTAAGGCAGTAGGTTTTCTTAAGACTACTGTCATCAATATTTTTCAGGCCCCTATTTCTTTCTTATCTTTCTCCCTCACTCCCATCCAAAAATTATCCTTAATATAGTCACCAAGTAAAGGCAAGCTGGGATTAATGTAGAACTCGGGTAAAACAAAAGCACTTCTTCATAAGCAACAGAGATTGCCACCATGTTGCCTCATAAGAGGAGACAAACTCTGCACCAAGTAGAAGATCAAACAAATTCCTGACAAACCTAGCAGACAACTTTGTCTCCCAAAAAGTAGAGACGGGAACTAGGGGATTAGCCATATTGGATCTAATCCTCACTAACAGAGATGAAATGATAGAAAGTGTTGAAGCCACAGGAACCTTGGGGGGAAATGGTCATGCAATATTGGAATTCAACATTAGGGAAGCACAAGCAATAGAACACAGTCAAACTAGAGTCTTGGACTTTAAGAGAGCTAATTTCAATAAACTTAGAACTTGGGAAGGATTCCATGGATGAGAATCCTTAAGGGGAAAACAACTCAAGAAGCTTGGGAAATTTTGAAAAATGAGATAATAAAAGCCCAGTCTAGCACAATACCAACAAAGAGAAAAAATAACAGCTCTCAAAAGAAACCAGCATGGCTGCATACAGAACTCTCTGATAAATTGAAAGATAAAAAGGACAAGTATAGAAAGTGGAAAGAGGGGCACATAACTGTCAGAATATCAGCAGATAGCCTGAGCTTCCAAAGATGAAGTGAGGAAAGCTAAGGCTCATAATGAACTAAGGCTTGCGACCAAAGTCAAAAATAATGAAAAAAGCTTCTTTCAACATGTAAAAAACAAGAAAAAGGTTAAGGAAATGATTGGTCCATTAGTGAGTGAAAGTGGCAAGAAGGTGATAAGCAATAGGGAGAAAGCAGAACTATTTAATTCATTTTTTACATCTGTCTTTACACAAAGGGAAAAAACAGACCAACCTATCAAAAATAGTGCCATAAAAAACAGAATAGAAACACAAGTTAAGATAGGCAAGAAAATGGTAAGTGAGCACCTGTCCAGCCTAGATGAGTTCAAATCACCAGGACCAGATGGATTACACCCCAAGGTTCTCAAGGAACTGGCAGATGTGATCTCAGAACC